TGAAGATGACTGTTAATGTATATTTCTTTGGTTTGATGACGATCAGGTGTGGGATTGAGAAGAAAGCCAAAACAATCCTTTTCATAACCTGACGTCTTATGCCTTATTGGCTCTTCTTCAGAAGCGCAAGATATTAAATAGTAACAAAGGGTGTAAAACAGGGTTGCATGTTGAGCTTGTTGTTTTCATGGTTTATAAATGACATTAAAGAATTTGTAGAAGGAGAAATTAAGACAATTTAGTTTAGTTAAGATAATAATGTAAAAATTAACGTGCTAGCGTATGCAGAAGACATTGTTAGGTTCACTCCTGATCGTTTGTTTCGTCAATTAATGGCGTTATTTAATTACCGACCTGCTTTGATACAGACTGGATTTGAGGACTCATTGGGCATGTGGTTCTTGATGTGATCATCATCATGATACCGAATAAATTGTCAAATCCAGCGCCATCAATTAATGGTATATACTAAATGGTAAATGGTAAAATTAATGGTATATAATCGGTGGAATCTTTGATTAAATTTGAAAATATCCAAACTACTAGTCTTTCGAAATGGTTGGCGACGTGCCGTTAATAATAATTGGACTTACGAAAGAAGACTTATCAAGGTGTTAAGAAGTTACAAGTACGTTGGTGAGAGTCTCTCTTCATCTTTATCATTACAACAATGTTACATGAGCAGTTAACAAGGACTCTCCGTTTGTATAACTTTAATAGGCGTTTAATAATCAAGCTAAACAATTTTATTAGTTCAATCTAAATTGAACATTTTAAAAATGAAATATTTCAGCTTCAATACAAAATAGCTAAACATATTCGTAATGAAATTAGAAATTCCAGTAACTAATGGATTTTTGATTGCGGGTTTACAACTGTATTCGAAATGAAAAGTGGGTTGTCAAAAAGTGTGAAAATCGAGTTAACTACTAGATCATACAAATCGTCCCCTGGTACTCCAAAATAAAAGATGATAAAAGTGTATCTAGGACAGTTGTCACATATGTGTATGACAGTTCAGCATTAGGAGATTTTGGGCAAAATTCAATGGTGCTCCCTCAAAAAATAAATATGCTAGCTTTAGAAACTGAATTGGAACTCTTATTTTCGTCTACGTCCAGCTTCATTTAAAATACTGCCTGAAAATGCTAAAGTTGCCGGACCACCGTTTCTGCCTGAGGAATTATTTGTTAAAACAACTGATCTTTCAAGCCTTTCAAGCCAATTATTTGTCACAAGAGTACTACTGAGACTTTGAATGATATTTCTTCCTGGGAATACCAAAGCTATGAAAAGCTCGGCAACAATTTTCTGTTTCTGATCACTTGTTTAAATCACTCATAGGACATATTACCGATAAAAACATCTTTGAAAAAACGGGCGACCTAAATTTCCTTAATCTTCGTTGGCTTTTAATCTACAATAAAGGGAAACTGATGTTATAAACCATAGCTCCAAAAAGATTCCGTTGCTGAAAGATGTTGCCTTTGTAATTATAATTTTCCTAAAGATCTAACGCATTTTCTGGTACAATCTCCTTAGTATGCTGAAGTTAGGATAAACTATTTTGGAATCGGAATTTTTTCAAGTAATGACATTATTTTTTACCTAACAGATCAGTACTCCACTGGGCCACTTATTTTAATTATCATTAATTATTTACCCCTTAGGCAATTCTATTTGGGTTTCCATTGATAGTGCTTTAATTTACTAATCATTTACCAATTTATGGTTTATCTCCTGTATCTTTTCAATTTTTTAATACTGTTCTTAACTACTGTACGGCAAAAATATTGATTTTAAATCCATAACACCGAGATCTACTATCTGTAACAGTTTGCAAGTATGGGTTTCAAGATAAGTACGAAATAATTAAAGTACCTTTGCATTTTTATACATTTTTTTAAATTTACCCCATCACTTCTCAAGATCGAAAAGAACAAGGGATTTTTGTTTTGTCGAACTGGCTTTACTTACGATTTCAATAAAAATCATATTTAGACAATATGAACATTAATAATGTAATCAGTCTATTGACTGTAGGAAAGTGAATATCTGTAGTAATAATTTCATTGACAGCAGTTTTATTTACTATCAAGTTAAAATGTAAAAGTAACAATTATTTAAACATATTTTTGAAAAAGTTAATCAAAATTTTTTGTTGTATGTCCAAGCGACGACGTCATATTGTTCGAATCATCTACAGTAATGGACAAAGAAAAGAAAATATAATATCCAGTCGATAGTAAGTCACGTTTTGACCTTTTGTACGTCCTTGTTTGCAGTCGTGTTTTCAATTTTCCCAGCTCAGCATTTCCACAGCGAAACCGTGTTTTTTTTCTTCGTCCCACCACGTGCGACATCGAGTGTCCAGCGGGGGCGTTTCGGGCGGACAAAGCCCGCAGACAAAGGTCAATATCTTCTTGGAGACACAAAGCGTCCAACCCTCGGCGCGAGATTACTGACCTGTTCTGATAACTGGCTATAAACTCGACTTCAATTTTCTTTTCAGGCACCTCTCGCCCCTTCGGTGGAAAATTGAGTCTTCCCCTCCAAACAAACGGACCGTCCTTTCAACAATGGAAAATAAAATGTGTAGAAAATGAACTTCATCGCAAAGAACCTCCAAGCATGGAAATGTTTTATGGCCACCTTTCCGCATTTAATTTAAGAGTGAATATGTACAAAACAATTATGCTAATATTGGCAAAAGCGATTGCACTACTAGCAACTATCTCTTTCGATTTCAAAAATAATTTTTGTCAAAATATGTTTAGATATAAGATCTGTTACTTGACTATCACCCTAATATCTGATAGACTAAATTAAAAAAAAAATATTTGGAGAATGTGAGATGGGGTGTGGTGTCCGTTTGGAAAAACATTTTATTTGTTGTGCCATCGTTTCGACCTTTATTTCAATCATCTTCAGGCCCTGGGATTTACAAACATTGTTTGGATTATACAATGTTTTTTAATCCCAGGCCTTGAAGAAAATGTTTTTCTTAACCAAATCACACTAGACCGCATCTCACGATCTCAAAATCATGATTAATTAAAGGTCACTAAATACTAAACATTTATTACTAAATTTCCTCTTACTATTAAAATTGTACAATCATCACATTACAATTGATAAAAGTCATAGCCCATGTTGAAATTTCAAACAATATTAACCGAACTTTCGTTAATGATATTAACTGTTTCATATGAAAATAAAGGGAGAGGAGTAAAATTAGATAAAACATATTGTTCAAATTCTAAGCTCTCTATCAAAAATAGCACAATATCTGTAAGCGAGGGCGTCGGTGACACGGCGCTCATCGCGGTAAGGTAAAGGTCCAGGGTTCGAATCCAACGGCCCTGCAATCGTTTTTTTTTTTTTTTCAAAAACACCGGCACCCCGAGGATTGATATAACCTGTGCTGTTGCAAACCCTCGTTTAAAATAAATAAATAAATAAAAACAAGACCTACATTTCCTTACAAATGGGCTTTTTTTAAAAACACCGGCAAAAAAAATCTGTACGGCTCGTATTTTTTAGTTTTTAACCTTAATCCGAATTTTTGAAAAATAATAACATGTATCACAGTTACAGCAGTGATAACATTTTTTCTCAAGAAATTTTCGGGGAGTAATTAAATCATTATTAATTACTGTTTTCCGACCAACGAAGGTCCCACGTTTTCCTTGGTTCATTTCAATGTTCCTTTCAGTCAGATTTTGCCTTTTGTTAGATCTGGGTAACAATTTTTCTCTAGTTTCTTTATTCTATTAATATTGTTTATGTCATAATGAATCTATTAATCAGCAATAAACCAGTCAAAAATACCATTCTTGTTGAAGAACGTCGCGAATCGCCATTACAATTAAAAGGTACATAATGACTAAGTGACCCTCGAAGCGATCAAATTTATGCAACAAATACAAGCAATCCGGATTGCGATTGCTGTTCAACTGTTAGAAAAAAGACTGAGAAAGTTAAAAGTTAGATCATAAAAGCCATCCTGTTCGCCACAAACCTCCGTGGAAACATAGGCTCCTTTACAATGACCTAGTCAAAAGAAAATGACTCAAGTTACTAATCAGTCCACAAGATTGATAATGCAATTGAATGGGTCACGAGACGACCCTGCAGATTATCAACGTATTACGCTTGAGACCACTTATGGAATGGTAGAAAAGGGTTTTGGACCAGGCTTCGGCAAGACTATAGTGGTGATCAAAAGGTTTATTGTGGAACCTGATAAATTTGTGAATAAATTGGATTTTAAGACCCTTGTAGAGGGTAGAATTTGAAGCATAATGCGGAACATTTCTAATTGAACTGAGTACTTTAGATTGATAGGATTGTAAACGTTGGATAATGCAAGGTCTCTGTACGTTGAAATCATTGTTATAAGCCTTTTGTTTTATCGTGTTTGAAAAAAATTAACATGTAAAAACACATTTGTGAACTCCATTCATTTTTATTTTGTATACCAATGCCTTGGTGATAGAGGATCGCTCGGAATACAATTAAAATCAGTAAAGGATTTTATGGCAAATATTATATACTCTGTTCTCTTGAAAAGAGAGAGTTATTGACCGAAATTCAATCAGCATATTCAGACGCTTTATTCTCGTGTCTTTTTCCTTGGTCCTTTTCCAGGAAAAAACGTCGATAAGACGACAATCAGCTTTGTGAGATTCAGGGAAAGTCATCTCGCGGAGGCGTCGCACCGATGACAATTTTCCGAGCCGCCACCTCCCGGCTCACCTACCCCTGGTCCTAAATACATAATTTTACCCTTGAGAAGCGGTCCCTGCAGATGAGACCACATTTCCCACAGAAGGTTATATTGGGAGAAATCACTCAGTTTAGAATATTTCCGAGGTTCATTATTACGGACAAGAATATACCGAAATATTATATTCTGATGTAAAATATAAACAAGAAATGTTTCGTTTCTAGTAGATAATATGATATTTAGATGATGCGGTTTTTGAGCAAATAATTACCTTCTTGACCGTTATGTAGTGTAATTGCTTCTCCTCCTTCCCTTCTCCATGTGATATTTGGTGTGGGTGCTCCAGATGCAGCACATCTGAAATTGACGTTGCTCCCTTCCCTGACGACCATGTCCGTGCTCGTTCCGTAGTCCAAAATATCAGGCGGCACTAAAAAAAAGCAGAAAAAGTGAAATATTAAACAAAGTAAATGAGCAGAACAGGATAGTTACATTTATTTTTTAAGTATAGTTTTAGTGAAATGAGTCATTTTATCAAATAGAATGATTATAAAAATTTTCTTCGTGAACATTTTCAGATAATACAATTTCTCAAAATTGTCAAAAAAAACTGCACATGCCAACAGCTTCTCATGAACACTCCCGATCAAGTTATGATATTAAAGAAGAAACCGAATTTATTTGTTACTGCCAAGGTGACGACTTATTTTAAGGTCATCATCAGGGCAAAACTATCTTAAATATGTCTACAGATTGACATATTTACGTTTTTTACAGGCGATCTCAAATTTCCTTGATGACCGACTCAGTCCCAACATTGGCAAAAGACAGCACGCTTGAGAACATGCTTTGGCAATGTGTTTATATACATATACATGTAACGTTACCATTTGATGGAACCTTACAAATTGTCGAATAAAAAGGGAAATAATTAAAAATAAACAAAGAGATATCAATTCTCTCCTTACTACATGCCAATAAGGTGCACAGAGGGAGGGGCCAAAGGAGTAAGAGTTAAAAACAAGGAGAGTCTTGAATCAGCGGTCAGACTGAAAAAATAATATTGAGAAGAGCCAAGCTGTGTGTTTTTTCAAATTAATTAGTGGAATCTTTATTTTATAGGAAAAGTGTTCCAGGCCTCATGAGGTGAGCCTTCCTTTTTAATTTACCTTTAGTAATAGTTAGTTTTGTATTTTGACAATTAGTTATTTTCAATTTATTTTGGATTTGAGAGAAAGAAGAATTTTATTTTATTTTATATTATTATTTCAAAAGAACATTTAAATAATTTGTTTTGGTTTCCTTCGTGAATTATAATAAACCCTCATTTTAAAGGAATTTGTTTATTTTATTTTTCTTCTGTTTGAGACAAAATTGAGAATATTTAAATAATTTGTTTTGGTTTCTTTCTTGAATTCTAATAAATCCTTATTTTAAAAGTAATTCGTTTATTCTATTTTTTCCTCTGTTTGTGACATACATATACTGCTCATCAAAAACAAACCGGCCACTGGGGTTTTGCACGAAAAAATGGCCAAATTTGGAAATGCACGTTTTATCAACCGTTTAATGCACAGACCTCCGCTAGGTCTCATTTTTTAGAAAATTTTATGTTAAACAAGTTGGTTTTTTTAAATGTTTCCCCAGCTCCAGCCATTCACCAGTGAATTCATAAATTCGGGTACATGTTAATTTTTCCCTTTTTACGACAACTTTAAATGAGCTGTGGAGTCTGGAAATCGTCCTTGGAGTGGCACTCTATCGCAATTGATAAGACAATTTAGTAAGTTTTTAATTGGTCACCTTTTACTTTGCCCGTTATCTCAACCGTTTTTTGAGTTATTCATAATTTTTGGGCAAAAAACGTGGTTATTTACGTGATAATAGAAAAAACTAAAAATCTACAGCATAAGCATTCCGCATCCCAGAAGATCAAATTAAGAATTGTAGCTTCTCTGTTTATATTTTGAAAAAAGTCCTTGGAACAAAAGTTGTAGAGGTAAAATTTGCGAAAGCATCACCGTTCAAAATTCATGCATTCTTGAAATCGGGTATACAGGATATCCTCTTTAGATGGGCCGGCTGAATTTGTATTATATACGTATGCAAAATTACTGTTGTATTCAACGTTAAGTTCAATGTAATGCTCATGGATAAACTATGTTTATGGCGATTACAATTGGTATATACACTAACAAATCACTTGCGTTGCCAACACAGCAGCATATACCGCATAATTGGAAAATTAATCCAAACAATTGATACGATTGACCTTGTGATTTATTTACCGTTATTGCAAAAGCCAGTTTAATTGGAATTTGCGATAGTTTGAAATGAAAAGGCATATCTTTTAGTACCATTGTTATACGTGGTATTAGCACATCCTCTCCGTTAAATTTGCTATTGGAAATTGTTGCTTCGTTGACACGGTTTTGACTGCCAATCGATACAATTGCAAAGACTAGCTGACTCAATGTTACTATGAAGAATGATATATGATGATTTAGGTTATTGCTGTATGATGGCAATACTGTGATGATCGTTCGGATGAAAGGAATCTGCACTGTGGAAGAGAGGGGACGATCATCACAAACACATTGGAAAAGGAGGAGATAAGCGGCTATCCNATTTAAATTTTTGTGGAATTTCATTGATGATTTGCTAATATATTCTTCAGATCTTACTAGTCATTTAAAACATGTAAATTACGTACTATCAACTCTTCGTAATGCCGGATTGACTTTTAATCCAGGCAAAATTCAATTAGTGCAAAAAGAAATAAAATTTATAGGACATATAATATCACATAATTACATAAAAATCGACCCAGCCCGAGCTCAATCATTAAGGGATATAACACCACCCAAAAATTTAAAAGAACTACAAAGATTTTTAGGTGCTGTGGGTTACTATAACAGATTTATACATCGGCTTTCCAACCAAAAAACCATGAAAAAATTGCTGGTTAAATTTTATGAGCAAAACCGTGTAATAAATTGTTAGTTAAATTCATTATATCAAAAAATGATATTCTGGTTGGATTGACTTTCTACCAAACCATTAAAATTATTTTTTCAAAATAAAAACTAAAATTTCTAGTTAATAAATAAGTTTATTTATTAGTTTTAGTTAGTAAATAAAATAAAATTTTTGATATCGGTTAATTTGTTTATATTAAAATAAGTTTGTTGTAATTAATATAACGGCAATAATACATGTAGTTTGAATAAAAGTATGAATGTCCGGTTATTTTGTCTTCGACTGTACTCGATGCTACCCGACGAAAATCTGGACAGTGGGGATCGCAGAGCGTAGGGTAGCATAGCATCGGGCAGATGTGCAAGGGGGTAATGCAACCTTATGGAAAAACGGAGTTTGGATTTGCGTCGGGTAGCATTCGGTAGCGTCGCATGGTGTAGCATCGGGTAAGTGTGTTCCCGGCTTAACGCTGATGACTTTTGTAATTTTGTTGATTAAGTAGGCTGTTTCAGTAGTAATAAAAATACTGAGAGCATCGAAATAGGTATCCTCCTATATTTTTATGAGGAAAAAGATTCAGTAGTTCTTACGAATGTAGTGTATTACCGCCTCTATATCTGAAATCAAAATTTAAAATATATATAGAATTTTTCGTATCATATCCTGTCTATTTTCTTTCTAGACAGGCAGCGACCTCTTCAGGTTCCGGTGTAATTACAAGTCTCTTTCTTCTTATGAATTCCGATATAGAGGACGTAACACACTATAGTCGTAGGAACTACTGAATCTGGTTCGCTAAAGAAAATATAGGCAGTTACATATGTCACGTTTAGATTTGTATGAGCAATTCAATTGAGTAAATTTTATATTTTGACGTCAAAACAAAAAATAATAATTGTATTTTAATTTAAAAAGGTTGTAAAAAAAATATTTTTATAAAGAAAATTAAAAGAGATAACATTTGATTTTAAGAGTTGTGTTACAATATTAATTGCATTTTCGAAGAAAAGAAACGTTTAGCATTAACTGATAAATTGACCACAAAAATATATAAAAATTTGAAGAATGCGTGAACGAGCAGATAATACTCGAAAAGGAACCCAAAATCTTAAATGAAAACGAAGAGCAATTATCAGTTAAATCGGAACAATCCGTCAGAAAAGTACCAATCCCAACACCTAGAAAAAGTTACGCAATGGCCCTAACGGGAAATAACACTAATTTAGGAGTCCACTTTTACCCTAAATTTAATACGACTGATTCGAAAGAAAGCCAGGTAGGTAAAATTGAAGAAAAATATATCCGGGCGTCAAAATTACACAAAACACTTTTAACAAGGATTAATCGATTACTTATGTTATTACTAAACGATCCAGAATCTATTTTTAAACTTTTATGCGCGCTACATCCCTTACTACAGCACTATAAAAGTTTAACGTCAGAAATTCTTTTCGTTATTGCGAAAATGACAACGGGTTCTGTAAGCCATCTTTTGTATAATGCCGCAATCAAACCTTCCGATTACTACGTGATTCACTATTTCAATATCACGTGTCAGCCCAACAAGTAATTCTTTTAAAAACTAAATTTTTATTAAGGCCCCAAGAACGAGTCCCTCAGAAATTTCGTCGACACACGCGTCCAATATGCAAAGATATTCGGAGATATTCCTGAAAAAGAGATTATAAAAATTATCCTAGAAAGAATTAACCCGGAGTATATTACTGATCGGAACTAAAATGGAAATTAATGACATCCCCGAATTATACCAGGAGATTTCTAGAGTCGAATTAATTTTTTTCAAATAACCCATAGGGCAAATAAATTTTTTTATTCCCGTCGGATTCAGAAGATAGCTTCATAGACTTCAGTAAAAAAAAGAAAAAGGCGGGAAAACATAATTTAAAGTCTGCTGGACTTGGAATTAACCACATGCCGGATCGCGGTTGAAAAATTAACACAGAACAAGAATCGTTACAAAACGAGGGAAATTTTCAGGAACCCAGGAACTCTAGAAAACAAGATATGGCGGAAAATTCGATGAAGGATAAGCCCTGGAATAGAAATTTTTATTATAAACAACCACAAGTAGGCAGTCAACTTGGGGAAAATAATTATAGAAGAAATTATGCTTTACAAAATCAAATAAATAGAAATTACAATCCACCAAATAGACAATCATATCGACCATTTAATAATAATTATTGGAGCAATAATAATATGAACGCGTATCAGAATTATCCTAACAAGAGACGGCCTTTCGTATAAAAATTAAATAGGACAGAAAATTTTAATCGCATTAGGGATCAAAGACGTCATGCTGAACACCACGGCAGGATTTTTCCAAAATCTTATAATACAAAGTATTGTTGCTCTTGCATAAAACAAAGCGTTTGTGATATGGGTTATCTTCCAGATTGTACCGGTAGCGACTACTCGGCGAGGTTTAGG